GGTGAAGGAGGTTGAGGGAGGAGAAGGTCGTTGGGAGGGGGAAGGGGGAGAGGGTTCTAGTGTAGGAGCATGAGTGGAAGAGGGTCGGGGGGTCTCGGTGGAAGGGTTAAAGGGAGAGGGTTGTAGTTGGGGGGTGAATGAGGGGCATAGAGGGTTCCAGTTTGTGTGGAAGGGGCTGAGGGGAGAGGATCGTGGTGTGGGAGCTCTAGAGGGGTCTGGGTCCGGAGGTTTTGGAGGGGAGGAAGAGGGTCCTGGCTGGTTGAGGGGTCTGGGGAGGGGGTGAGGGGTCCTGGTGAGGCACTGGTGGGGGAGGGAGGAGGGCCTGATGTGGGCTGTTAGGGGATACGAGGAGGGAGAGGGTCCCAGGTTGGGGGCACACTGCGGGATCCCGGTGCGGATCGGCACCGTCGTGAGCTGCCGGCCGTGTCCCCGCAGGCTCCAGTGTCATGTTCTACCTGGCGGCTGCTGTGTCCGACTTCTACATCCCCCCCTCGGAGATGCCTGAGCACAAGATCCAGTCCTCTGAGGGGTCCCTGCAGGTGAGGGATGCAGAAAAGGCCTGGGGGAAAAAAAAACACAGAAAAGGGGCCCGCTGGGCCAAAACGGTGCTGTTCCCGTGCAGTGCTCTTACTGCAGCTCTTTCTTCCTCCTGTCTTCTCCTAACTGTAGATCACGATGGAGATGGTGCCAAAGATGCTGTCTCCCCTAGTTAAGGACTGGGCTCCGGAGGCCTTTGTTATTTCCTTCAAGCTGGAAACGGATCCCTCGATCTTAATAAAAAAGTCTCGTCAGGCTTTGGAGAAGTATCGGCACCAGGTGGTGGTGGCGAATACCCTGGAGTCGCGGAGGACCTCGGTCATCATTGTAACCAAAGACACTGAAACGCCGCTGTCGCTTTCTGATGAGGAAATAGCTCAGGGCGTGGAAATAGAGGAAAAGATAGTGAACCACCTTCAGGAACAACACACGGCCTTTATAGAGAAGAAATTCTGAGGACCAGCTTGGAAAGAAAAGGGTGGAATGTTGCTATGGAGAGCCTGGAACTAGAGCAATGCTCTTATCACAAGTAAATAGAATAATACCGGGTGACGCACTATGGGAAAGGCTGCCGTCCAAAACTGTATCACTTTTCCATAGCCTCATAATGGTAATTGTGGCTTGCTATCAAAAAAAAAATACTGAAATGAAAGCATTCCAGAGGATGATATTTGCTCTAAATTGTAATGAAGGAGAAATAATATATTGCTTTACCACTGTCCCCTAGACAGGGGGATAGGGCGGTGCAGAAATGGTATATATGTATGTATATAAAAGATTTTTCTTGAATTTGCCTTTTGACAAGTCCTTTTGTAATCCTGCACAGATGGGAAGGAGTTTTGCAGAGAAAGGGATTTTTTATTTTAGTGGAGTGGGACCTACAGAGCTGCAATTAACAGAGAGAGAAAATGAGTGGGGAAAGGAAGGAGTGTGGCAAAAGAGGAAAGAGAATGAAGCGGAACAGCGAGCAACTTTGGAGAGCATCTTGCTCCAAGAAGCAACTTTTGGACCCAGTCTCAGCAGCTTTGCTCAGTGCAGAAGGGACAACTGTTACCACTACTTTGATTATTATTATTATTATTATTATTATTTTTATTTTTTTGAGCTTCCTCCTGAATATCCACTGGAAATCCCAGCACTGAACGGTGCTGGGAAGAAGCTGGAGAGCCCGTCGAGCGCTCAAGTCCCCAGGAGGGGAACAGGAGAATAGTAATAAGAGAACTCTTATTTTCTTATTACTACTCTTATTTTTAAGAAAGTTATAATAGTTATAAGTGCAGCAAAATAGGTGCTGCGAGAGTGTGCTGAGAGCTGTTGTCCCACAGAGCTGGCCTGCCCCAGGGAGGCAAGGAGATGGCACCGGCGCAGGTGGCAGCCTCTGGACGTGGTTCAGGAATGGAGAGCTTGGAGGCAACGGCGGGTGAAGAGGTGGACAAGGTTGCTGAGATCGTCCTTGGGAAGAGAACGGCATCTTGGCCGTGCGGATGCAGTGGAAGTGGAGCTGCTTGGACCTGGACTCGAGGACTGTGCTGTCCTCCCGCTCCCGGGTGCTTGTCCCGCGGGAAGCGCTTGGCCTTCCCGTGCTTTGGAAGAAGCATGCGGGAAATCTCCCAAACTTCTCGCAAGGGAAAAGCGGAAGCAACGGGGAGGCAGCAGCGAGGGGCCCGCGCTCCCCTGG